AAAAGTATAAACAGACCTTCATTTCTCTCTGTCTCTCTCTTTCTTTCTTTCTCCGGCTATCCTGCGTGCTTCTGCATATTCGGACGACGACGACGACTATACGGCCTCGCGCGCGCCAGCCAGCCAGCGAGTGTATATAAGAGAGCTCAACATCCTTCTCTCTTCCTTCCTTGGCCGAGCTCTGCGCTTCTATATAGGTATACAAATATACGTACGTACACACAAATGCTGGACTCTGCCGCGCGTATTATAGAAAGAAAGAGAAAGACGACGACAATGTGCTTGCTGGCTCGCTTCTTTCTCTCTTTCTTTCTCTTCTCCGAGCATACTATACAAGGGAGAGAATGCGAAAAGAAGCTCAGGACGAAAAGGAGCAGAGAAGGAGAGAGCGAGAGAAAGAGAGGAGGTGTTGGAGGGGAAGAAAGAAGGAATCGAGCAGCGAGCCAGAGCAAGCATGATCGGCAAAGAAAGAACGAGAGAGAATGAGAGAGAGAAGTGAAAAAAGGGAAAAAGGGGGCTCCCTTAAAAATTGAGGGAGAGAGAGAGAGAGAGCCTGATGGCGATGTGCCGTGGCTGCTGCTGCCGTGGCTCTTCTCTCTTTCTCGCTCTCGCTCACTGCGGCGATTCGCAGTGCAGAGTGTATATAAGCAGCATACATATACTCGCCATACCATATAATGCCGTGGCGAGTATATCTATAGCGAGCGACCGGCCGAGAGATCCAGAGAGAGAGAGAAAGAGCAGAGGCAGGAGGGGATCGGAATTTCGGGCCCGCGGTCGGACGATCAGTCCAGTCGAGGCCTTCCTCCAGCGAAGATGAGGTGATCCTCACTTCTACTCCTCGCCTTCTCTCTCCGGCTCTCAGTCTCAGTCTCGACGTTTTCATAGTAGTATACACACGCGCGCGCGTTCTCCTGCAGCAGCGGCATATAATATATACCTGCGCGGTATATACCTGTGCTCGCGCGCGTATAGTCGTATAGAGGCGCACTCGGACGATCGGTCGCGAGTCGCGCTGTCGGTATATCTATATACACATTTGTGTGCAGTCATAGAAGAAGGAGCGCAACTACTAGCGCGAGTTCGACGGGGGGTAAGAGAGCAGCATCAGTAGCGGCAGTGAAGCCGGCGCGCGCGCATACACACACACACACACACGCTCGTGGTTGCCCGCCCCCGCGAGTTCGTCCGATTGCTGATTATGGACCGGCAGTACACGCTCTGCGTACTGGTACCGGCTCATCAGTACCACAATTACGTCGACGGTTACTCGCACAGCACGACGACGACCAGCACCAGCAGCAGTAGCAGCAGTACCAATCAAAACAACAATGCCAATGCCAAAACCAACGCCAAGAACAGTAGCAGCAGCAGTAGTAGCAGCACGACGACGACGAAGCGCACCAAGGCTTCGGCGGTCGGCAATCTGCAGTGGTATCCGCAGCCACAGAGGATCGTCGACCAGTGCTACGAGCCCATTCGCTGCGACTATCGGCAGTTTTTGCTGCAACAGCAACAGATTCGTCTGCAGCAACAGCAGCAACAAGCACAGCAGCAGCAACAACAACAACAACAACAACACAAACAGAATGGTCAACAGCAGCAGCTGCAGTTACCGTACTACAGACAACAAAATGGACAGAATCAGATGCAGTTGCAGCCTGCGGTGGCTGCTGTGCAACAGCAACAGCAGCAACAAAAACAACAACAACAACAGAAGCAACAACAGCAACAACAACAACAAGTACAGCAACAAGTACAACAACAACAACAACAACAGCAGCAGCAGCAACAGCAGCAACAACAACAGCAACAACAGAACAACAGAATCATTCAGCAGTTGCAGCTGCAGCGTCAGAGGCACCAGATGCACCAGATGCAGTGCCAGGAGCAGATCTACGAGAACGTCGGCTCGCGCTTTCAGATGCGCATGTGCTATCAGAACGATTACGAGAACGAGAGCGAGATTCAGCGCTTTTATTGGGAGCAGTGCTACAGCGGCGACGACAGGGATGCGACTGCCTACTACTATTGCGAATATGTAAGGCTCCCAATTTGCCCCATTTCTCAGTTTAGTTTGTGTTTTTGATCGTGTGCATAAGTATTTTCTCACTGTGTGTGATAAAAATGAGAAAGAAAAGAAAAAGGAGTTCGTTACAGTGTGGTTTTTTGTATAAGTAAAGTAATTGCTGTGTGGTATCAAGTCGTTGACGACGACAAAGAAAATGTGTGCATTTTTGTTACGATACCCTAGGTTATTTATAACAGTGTGCCGCGGTCGGGGTGACTACTCTACTACCATTTTATACTCTTGAAAGATGTATACACGCAGTGGAGGGATGCAGGTAGTGCCGCATCGTGCTTACAGTGACGACGATCTCCCGGTGATCTAAGCGATCTTTTTGCGCGCATATACACACGCATCACGCACATTTATTATATTCCACAGGGAGAGAGAGAGAGAGAGAGAGAGAGAGAGAGAGAGAGAGAGAGAGAGAGAGGACGCTTGGAATGTGGCGGTGGCTGCGATTCGTGCACACGCGCGCGTAAGAGAGAGAAAGAGCATCGTAGCATTATAACGCGTCTGGATTCTTTTCTCTCTCTCGCTCGCTCTTTGGGTTATATACTTACATGCCTCTCTCTCTCTCTCTTGCTCTTTCTCTCGCAAGTGAGCGAACGAGCGCGCGGGCAAGCCGAGCTCGCTTATATGCCGCTGCTGTTGCTGCTGATGCTTTATACGCGAGAGAGCGAATAGCAGCAGCAGCGAGCGGCGAGTTTGAGGAATTTTAATTTTTTTACCTTCCACATCCGATCGAGAGTGTACACATGCACACACACACACGTGCACACGAACGCACATACGCAGCACCGTGGAGCGAGATTAATTTTTCTCCCCTTTTTTGTTGTTGGTTTTTTCTCTCTCTTTCTCTTCTTACTTTGAGTATTTTACCGGTGGGGTTATAAACTGCTGCGAGCGCGAGTATTCGTCACTTTTCTTTCTTCGTACCGTGGATTTTTGGATGAATTAAATTGACTCTCCAAAATTCAATCTCAATCGAATCGTTATTCGAGACAGAAAAATCGAGAAAATCGGACTGCTCGACGATTGGCCGGACGAGAAAGAGAGCACAGCGCGGCGAGCAGGTTGCACCGCAAAAACGTCGCGTGGCGAACCGCACCACACACGCTTACACACACACGCATGCTGCACGTTATAAACACGATACCAGTGAGCACACGCAGTCGTAGTATTGGTATATAAAGTAATAGTGGAACGACTCGTGTGCGAAACTCGTATTCGTGTGTGTGTATGTGTGTGTACATCTAATGCGACGCGCACGGATCACACGCGATATTTTTGCTGCACACACGATCTCGAATGTCTCTCGTATATGCACAACATCGTTCGAAACGATCGTCGCGTTGGACTGTTTTTTTATTTTTATTTTTCTCGAGGATTACAAATAATATATCCTCGATACACTTAGAAATTCCAAAGTATATTATGCTAACGAGCTTTCGCGTATGAATATGTAAACGACCGAAAAATATTTTTCCTCGCTTCATTCCGCGACGCGATGAATCTTGTCTCGTATCGCGCCGCGCGTTAATGAACACGCAAAAAGCGTTTAAATACGCTTAAATTACATTACTGGCATGAATTATAACGAGCGCGAAAGGCTACTCGCATTTTTCGCGACTAGATGAGCGTGAAACGGACATGTCGTATGTTAAAAAAAAAAAATTATGGTCAAGTCTGGTACGCAGACGTAATAGTATTTGTCCCGCAATGTTTCTTTGCATTTGCGAATACCGCAGTAATATACATTAATTATGTATTCTTTGTGTAGTACTCGCCAAAACTCTTGTAGCTCGTGTCTATGTGCGTAGTACGCGCCACGCGTTAAAAACGCTGACTTGATTGATATTTTTCGAACGAATTTTGCGTCGAGTGCTCTCCTCGTGGGCCGTACAATATATAATCGATTGAAATTTTAGTTTTAAAGCTCCGCAATACACGTGTCGACTCGAGTGTGTTGTTTGATGAACTCGTAATGAATTCAAGTATACGCAAGTGTCAAACTTCTTCAATTCCGACAACTGATCGTCCGTTCGATTATGCGTGCCGATATTTGCTCGATATTATTGATTCGAATTTTCTAGCTAAAAAGATGGCAATTGGCATTAGAAATCTGCATGGATATATTTTGACAGTTGACAAATTTGTCACGCGGCTTTGTAGGCCCCGGTTTCTTCGTCTCGCGCGGCTGGCTCGTTTCGCGGAACATATAGTCGAACGACGTGACCTGAAATCCTGAATATGCTTATGTATATGTAAATTTATTATATATACGAACATTGTGCGATCGACGATAATCCATCGTCGCTGACGTTCGTTATCGATGACAAACAATTTGACGGGGGAATTTTTTATTTATTTAAATCACTCCTAGCCTTTGAGAGATCGCTGATTTATTGTAATTTATATATCTGTGGAAATGGTCGTTAGTTGTGTATATCCTTAGAAATCGCCAGGAATATTTATCACGGAAGAATGCCGCATTTCTCTCTCTCTCTGCCTCTTCAACGTCGTCGTCGTCGTTACAGCAGTAGTCATGGCATCTCTCTGTGTACTTTTATTTAATTTCGTAGCGGTATCCGTATATTCTCTATGTACATTGTAGAAAGTGGTAGCAAATATACACGCGCGTATAATACCGTAGAGTATTTGCTCCATATTGCCACGCCGTCAGCGCAGCATACGACACGCATCCTCTTCTTTTTCCTTTTTCGCGTGCGGATCCCCGCGCCATTCTATGCGCGCATCGGTAACTCGGTGCATTTATATCCATCCCGACGTTTATGGAAAAGGATGAAAACGAAATGAAAAAAAATTTTTTTCGAATAATATGCTCTCTATGTATACAAACTCAAGAAGAGATTTATGTGTCATGGCAAAGAGAAACTGAAACGAGCGCAATGCTTAATGTGTGTTGCAGGCGAAAAAGGAGATCTACGACGTGAAGCAGCAGCGATTATGCTTAGCCCAAGACGAGTACAATCACCTCAACAATGCGCTCTGCACGCTTGGCGCCTCGCGTACCAGTTGTAAGTATTAATTTTCTTTCTTACGCATATACATACATACGCACTTACACCGTGTGCACACAAATCTACGTACTACATGTATAATGTAAGTGCAGCCGCGCGGCATGTGAGAATTACAACAAGTACAAAAAAACTCGCGAGAAGATAAAAGAAATGCAAAATAAATAAACGCGAGCAAATTTTTTTCCCATAGAGCACAGACACAGACACAAACACTTATGTACCTACGTAGTACGCATCTCGATAATACGTTCGCGTAGATATTATACGCATGTGTACTGCATGAATTATTCATGGCTGCGGGCTCGCGCGCGCGCGCGATCATCAACGCGCAATTTTTCTACGACACAATAACAACATCCACTACTACTATGCGCGTAGAGCAACAAGAATACTCGTAACGCCGCGCGTATGATAATAGTAAAATGATTATTAGCTACGGTGCGGGCGGGAAAAAGTAATTACTCCGCGCGCCGTCGTACATCGCAGTAAACATTGTTTCGTATTTTATTACGCTCATGCATTGTATCACGCGTGATGCACGATATTAGCACGTTGAACGACAAACATTATATGAATCATTTATAGCTGCTTATCCCTATAATGGGGCTTTGAAAACAAATCAACAACGAAAAATTTATCACTTTTAATTATTAATTTTAACGTCTTCTTCTCCTTAAAGTATGCTCTAGCACGTCCTCGCTTAGCACCAAGTACGATCCAGATCTGCTGAAATGCGACGTGGCCGAGGCCAGGAAGCGGGTCTCGAGGCTCAAGCGCGAACTGGAGCAAATTCGGGCCGAGATGAATTGCACACAGCGCGGCGTCGACACGCTCGCCAGGTAAGAGAAATAAATATACCGCGCACACATACTTTCCTCTCCTCCGGTGAATATATATTATAAGTATTATATGCTGCAATCCGAAAAAGAGAGAGGCTCTCCTCCGGCGCGCGTATATACCGTATAATATAATGTATATACCTCTCGTGGTGTGCTTGTTTCTTTGCTTTTTTTTTTCTCTCTCTCTCTCGACTCTGCCTGCTTTTTTGTGTGTATGTACCGGATCATCGATAATGCTATGATAATTGATTTACAAGGAAGCATTTTCGATCGAGTACCGTAACGTTGAGAATTCGCGCGCCGAGCACACACGTGTAAGACGTGTTTTCGTGTGTCTTATATTGTATATGTATGTACGTGTATACGACGATGTTTCCAATGCACACGTATATCATATACGAGTCACGAGAGCAACAGCGTCTGTGAGACTTTAAAATCGCACGAATTGACGATGTTTTTTTTATAACTGGGCTCGTATAAGACCGACATTCCTTAGGCTCAATTATATCGCGTTTCCAAGTCCGAACTGCATATGTATCTCACTTTGTCTTTTTTTTTTATCCGAAAGTCAACAAACCATAACGCCAAATTTTTAATGTAGCGTCGAGCAAAAGCTGAGCACGCACCGCGCGGGCTGCTACAACATAACCGAGGCCCAGGCCATCATGACTGAGCTGCGCAACATCCAGAAGAGCCTCTCCTCGGGCGAGAAGGAGAAGGCCGAGCTCATGCAGTCGCTGGCCCAGCTCAAGGACGAGCTCACCCGGCTGCAGCTCTGCGAGGGCAGTCCCGAAGCCAGTACCCTGAGTCTGCCTCAGGAGAAGCTCAGCACCGCCTCGCAGACCGACCTGTCGGGCGAGCTCGTGCCCATCGGCACGCGCCTGGCCGAGATGGCACGCATGAGGCTGCAGTACGACGAGGCCAGAAAGCGAATACAGCAGATACAGCAGCAGCTCGCCGACCTCGAGGAGAAGGTAAGAAAAAAGAACAGCACGAACAAAAGAATATGCGAGCAGAATTTTGAGCTTGATTTTTAATCTGTGTGTGTTCGCGTTCTTTCTCTCTCTCTCTCTCTCTCATGGCGTACAATAGGTAATACCAGGCCAGACGGAAAGCGACAAGGACAAGCTACTACTGTTTCAGGAGAAGGAGCAGCTGTTGCGCGAGCTGCGCAGCATAACGCCGCACACGCGCACCCAGCAGGACATGGTCAAGATCCAGACGGAGATACGACGACTCGAGACGGATCTGAACCAGGCGTTCGAGCTCTCGAACAAGACCATCACCGATCGGGTGCGCCTGCACGAGGAGAAGCAGTTGCTGCTGCAGCAGTTGCGCGACGCGCTCAGGTCCATGGCGACCCTCGAGGGCCAGCTGAAGAGCCTGTCGGCCTCGACGCTCTCGGTGTCGTCGAGCTCGTCGCTGGGCAGCCTCAGCACGACCAGCAGCAAAGGCTCGCTGTCGTCCGGACTGAGCTTCACCGACATCTACGGTGGACCCCAGTGCATGGGCAGCACCTCGTTGCATCAACTTCAGCAGCAGACTCTGCAGGAGCGACCGGTCGACATGGTCGATCTGCATCGACGCGTCGAGCGACTGCTCAAGGGCTCCGATCAGACCAGCAATGGCCCGATCGGCAGCACTACCACCACGATGCTGAACAATAGTAGCGGCGGCGCGACCGGCGGCAACGGCAGCAACAGTAACAATACTGCCAACGGCACGACCGGTAACGCTGCTCAAGTCAACAGCAACAGCAATTGCAACAATTTGGGCACACCGTCGCCGGGCAGGTCTCAGCCCAGTTTGTCGCCCAGGTCTAGTCTGTCGAGCGTGTCCCCGCCCATATCGCCGCTATACGAGAACGCACCGGTTGGTTTTTCCTTCGTTCTTTCTGAACCAATCTCGAGTAATCCCCATAAAAATTTCGCTACAATGTGTATTTTGTGCATCACACAGGTTGGACCACCGCCGGCGTACGAGCAGATAGAGCTGCAGCGACGCCAGCAACAGAGACTGCTCTCGTCCACGTCGTCGACGACAATGGCGGCCTCGCACCTCGACCGAATCCAGCTCGAGGACAAACTCGCTGAGCTCCGGCTGAGCCAGCAGACCATTCAGGAGCAGCAACAGTCGGTTAGTAGCGGCAGCGCGGCCGAACCGCAACAAAATCCTCAACAACAGCAACATCAACCACATTATCATCAACAATTTCAGCACTATCAGCAACGCGATCAGCACGAGCAGCAGCTTCATCGTCAGCAGCTGCAGCAGCAACCCAACAAGCACAGCCAGCAGCAGTCCAACATGGATCTGCAGTCGTGCAACATGTCCCAAGGCAGCGGTCTTGGCAGGCCTGGTCAGTTTTTAGCCGATGTCACATCGTTTATATTGTCGAGAGATTGGCTTTGGAAGTGACGCGATCGTGCGACGATCGTTTGTTGCCTCTCGAAAGCCCACAGTTGTACAAAGTGTATAAATGTTCTTCCCCGTCACGAAATAAAAGACGATTCTTTAAAACATTTTTTTATAATTTTTTATGTAAAGATTGTGGTTAAAAATAACATGAATATAAGTTAAGAAAACTTGATTTCTTATTGATCATCCCAGATACCCATAAAAAGCTCGTTTGATTCAGTCACTGGACTATTTTTTACGCTCACAAAGTACAGTAAAAGTTTAAAATTATTACACTTGAACAGATTTAATATTTAGTTGCATTCTCGAACAACACTTCCAAAGCCAATAGATCACGTGACAAAAAATTAATCTCTTTCAAAATGAAACGAAAAATAAAACTTGCGAGCTTTGATATGTGCAGGTCTGACGCAAGAACCTCCACTGTCGCCGATAAGCGAGACACCGCCGCCGCTGGGCGCCCGTTCGCGAGCCAGCTCATCGGGGACGAACACGCGCTCGGTTTCCGCAGCCGTGTCCGACGAGAGCGTCGCCGGTGACTCCGGGGTATTCGAAGCCTCGAACAGGCGACGTCTGTCCGGCATCGGCAACGCGATCGACAACGTCAGTGGCAATGGCGCTACCGACGCCAATCTAGAAACCGCACAGGTTCAAATCAAACTTAGGTAAATAATCATATGCAAGAACGACATGAGTCACATATATAATACGCATCGATAATATAAATTAACCTTGACTTCTTATGACTATTTTTGTAGGTATTCTGTTAGTGACGGCTTGCTTCACGTCGGAATTGAGCGGGCGAGAAACCTGGCCGCGCTCTTCATTCCCGACAGCATGCAAGTGTAAGTATCAATTATTTCTATCTTTATTGAAAAAGAACTGAGCTTTTCTAACTGACATGGTTTTTTCCCTCCTCTCCAACGACAGGTACATAAAAATTGCTCTGCTGCCAATGCAGCCGCCCGTGAATCATGTGTGCTGCACCAAACCGTTAGTGGACTTGCGCAAGCCCAACTTCGGAGAAACATTCCCTATATCAGTGCCACTGAACAAGCTCTACAACAAAACGTTGCAAGTAAATGTTTGGTCCTGTTCAGGAGAGTCTGAGGAGTGCTTGGTTAGTTGATCATCCTAGTTAACGATAGACTAAATATCATTTCAATTGGTCCGAAAATCTCACCTTCTCAAATCCACACACACAGGGCTCAACCCAAGTCTCCCTGGCAGACTTCAGTCCTGAAAATTCAAGTGTCAAGTGGTACAACATCCTGTCGTATCGCTTCATGCAGCCATCCTCGTCGTCGTCCTCGGCAGCGGCGTCAGCGCTGCCACTCGCCAACGAGTCGACTTCTTGCCAATCCTATACCGGCGCGATGAGCAAGCACGACAAGCAGGAGTCCGACGTTTCGGTGTACAAAGGTCAGAGCAACGTGAAGGAGGAGAGCAGCGACGAGAGCACCATCATCAGCTCGCAGACGTCGACGTTGACGCGAAACACGGGCTGCGAGGAGCTGTCATCCGCCGTGACGTTGAGGCTCGAGGAGTTGGCTAACTGTCTGAGTCCTCAGGAGGAGGACGAAGAGGACGACGACGCGGACGACACCAGTGACAGCGATGGCGACGATAGCGAGGACAGCGACGAGGAGGGTATCGTCATCGAGTTCATGATGGAAGAGAGCGTTCTCGAAGATGTACTCGAACACGAGGTTTGTTTTCTCCCTCGTTGACCTGAACTAAACTCAACTCGATCGATCAATTAATACTAAATTCGATGCTTTCCAACGATATTTAGGAAGACGAGGAGCTCGCCAGAGAAGAAGCGGCAGCAGCTGCGGCGTCGGCGTCAGCCGAGTCCGGGACAGCTGCCGCCGCCGCCGCCGCTCCGGTGATCGCCAATCACACACTCGACAAGGAGACCAACACAGAGTGCGTTTTCATTCCGGAGCAGGGCAAGCAGCGCAAATTGTCGGCAGCTGGTGCTGTACCGGGTGCCGTGCACGACGACAAAAACTCGATTGTCATCAAGAGGAGCCAGACATTTTCGCCGAGCGCTGCCGTCAGTCGAAATCATTACATTTGTCGAGTGAGTATCCTTACATCCGTTACTGAGACTCAAGTTGATTGACTGCCATACGAATTGCAAGAGATTCTCTAACGTTGCAATTTTTACAGCTAAATCGCAGCGACAGCGATAGCAGCATGCCACTCTACCGCAGAGGAGGACCTTTCCAACGTAACTCGATTGAGCGTCGATCGCTGCGTTGGCGTAGGCCGTCCTCCGCCCTAGGTGTCAACAAGTCCGTAGTCGTTTCGAAATCCCGGACGCCGCACGTGTCGACCACCGCCAGGACCTCGCTGGACTTGGAGCTCGATCTTCAGGCTCAGCACGCCCGACTCTCGAATCTGCACGACGAGCTCACCAGACTTCGCGATCTGAAGCAACGACTGGAGCAGGCCCGAGAGAAGCGAGACGTAGACATGGCCAATTGGCTGCTGGAAGATGACAAATTCCAGTCGCTGATGCAGCAAGCTGAGGTCGGTAAAAACGGAAAGAGCGTCGAGGATAAGAAAGTCGAAAAAATGCTGAGGAAGACCGGCAAGGAAATTTATAAATTGAGGAAGACCAAAGTCGGCAAGGGAAAACCAGACATCATCTCCTTCAAGTAAGTTTCCAATTTTTCAGTCAAGTAATAAAAAAATACAAGAAGACATATTTAATCGCTCTCTTTTCATTTTAGAGAAAAAATGGCTTTCTTCACTCGAGTCAATCTAAATGTGCCTGTACTTCCACCTGATGAAACAAATAATACGACAAACGACGAAATGCCTCCTCTCGATCATCGTAGATACTCTTCGGAGCCCGTGAAATCCACGAAGATTTACAATAATGCGAGTCGAAAATCTAGCGGACCTGCCGAGGCCTCATCGGATAATCATAGTAAAATTGCTGAGGACAAAGTAAACCAAGAAACTAGCACCGATAAACAACCAGACGTCGACGAGAACGGCGAACCTAAGAGGTACGAATACGTCGTCGATAGAGTATTGGGTGTCGAAGTGTGAACGCAAATGGCGATAGACCGACTGATAATGATCACAAAAAATGAGTCTATATGCGTAATAGACGATCTTTAGCTCGAAGTTATTTAATCGAGCGTACTCGCCATGGTAATAATTGGGAGACTTTATGGAAATCCTAATAATGTAAATATATTTCAGTGTATTCAAGACTACTACATGAAACAAAAAAATCTGATTTGCTAGAGATGACTACGACTGATTTATGTAAAAAAGAACAGTTCAAACTAGTCTTGAATATTATTATGTACGGTCAAAGTCTCCTTGTTCATAAGAAAATAGCAAAAAATGTTTATTAGTGCCAGGTGCCATGCACGACTGAAATGATAAAACACATGATGTTGAATCAGAGCTTAAATATGTAAATTTGTTTCGTTTTTTTAAGCTTTAAAACTGTCTTATAATACTTTATTGATTGTGTCTCTGGTTGTTTGTAAAAGTTTTAAAGAGATTTTATGAATCTTATTAATTTATGTAGTAATGGAGAATCTTTGATAGGCAGCTGGCCTGCTTATTGTTTTTGTCGATGGTCAAATGAGTCTCAGCCATCGTAATACAAATAAAGTGTATCCAGCTTTGTAACGGAAAAGTAATCCCGCTGAATACCTCTTATAAGTGCCTTTTCAAGATCGATGTAATATCGAACGCGTTCAAAGTTGATAACTCAATTGACGAAAGCAATGAAGTAATATAACGTTTTTTAAAATAATTATGCATAAAAGAAAATTATTTTTGCATTAAATATACGTGTTGTTTCGTAAGTTTTAAATTGTTATACGGAGAAAGTTGGTAAATTTGTACGACTGTTAAAGAAAAATTGTTAATATTTTCAATTGATGTATAAGTAATAAGATGACGTGAATGCCCACGATTCGTTCGATGTCGAAAAATTCGTTTGCCTTCGTGGACGTTTCATTGTTCAATTAATTAGTAAAATTATTTAAAGTGATTGATGATCAAAAAAATTATGAAGAATCAATTGATGTTTCGTCGGCGCCAAAGGCCTTTCAATATTTTCATGCGTAGATTTATCGTCAATAAGAGATTTCTAATTAACTGTTTCATAATCGCGAAATAAAAGTAGTTTAAGAATAGTATATTGGAATTCGCCTTCCCTCGAACTCTCTCGGCAATAAAGCTAGTGATTAGGAATTCTCGTTTTTATTAATTTCACGTAGTTATTAGAGTGGGAGAAAATATCGGAGCATTGTTCAAAGTCAAATGGGCTCAATACACAATGTAGATTTCGAAATAATTGCTTAACAAGCCTGTAAATAGTGAACATTTTTCCTTCTTTTTTGTACATACGTATAAATAAATGAATATATATATTTTACTGTAATAATTTCATCGACGACAACCCGAACTAATGTCGAGAGAACTGCGGAAAATCGTTTATCGTACGAAACAAAAGTACGAGCGCAGCGTTCGACGTGTAGAGTTGTATAAATAAAGATTACACGGAAAGAGAATCGATGTTAAACAATACGCGCGATTATTTTTTAATAGGAGAGAAGAAATACTGCATTATTGGCTTTTAAACGCAATTGAGAAACGTGTGCGCGTCTCGTGTCGCCCAAAATTTCGTTGCGTTTACAGTCTCTGTTCATGTATAATAAAAAATATAAATGTTAATGATTGTTCAACGAGCCGAGCGAGACGACGATGATGTCTCGTCTCGTGTTTCTGTATCGATGTATTATTAATGTTACGAATACTGTATTATCAAACAGCGAAAAAAACAAACAAACAGCAACAATTTATCATTATCGTCATTCTAATTATAATATCATACTAATTTTAATTCCTCTGCTATTACTACAATGATAATTTTTATTTTTTATTATTACGTTATTATTTGTATTATTATCTTTATATTACAGTTATTACCGTGTAGCAATTAAAAAAAAGTTCTCTCTTCTCCCCTTTCTTTCTCTTTGTCTTCGTAGCGTAAAAAAAAAGACAACAACAACGAGTAACAAAGCTAAAAACGAATAAATAAAAAAAAAAGCAAATGACAAATAAATAAAAAAAAAAGCAAATGACAAATAAATAAAGACAATTTAATTCACGATTTCACGTCGATGGAATTTACTATTTGTTTTGTAAGTAACGGTTCCGTAAATTTATTAAAAATATAATTATTAAAAAATGAAAAATAATCAAATGGTGTAATTTTTTCCACAAACCTTTCAAATCTCCATTGAAACGCTCGTTACGCAAAAATGTGCGACGATTGCGAACGTAATACGTGCGATCGCTGCAAGGGCTTTCCTCGAACGCATGCGCGACGATCAACATCATATTATATAGAATAGCTACGACCGGAGAGGACCGCAGGTGTTGGCATACATCGGTGTGTGTGCCTGCGCCACATGTGTGCGAATATACAAATCCACTGTAGTTATAACAATATGTATGCTATAGGACGGCTGCGGCACACGCGTACCTATATAGGTAATGCACTTGGATGGAGGAGGTTCGTCGCATTCTAGAGTGGGGCTTGTCCGCCGCTTGCCACCACCACCTCTCGACTCGAGAGAAAGACAGAGAGAGAGACTACAACTACTACCGCCGAAGCCGCTGCCGCCGCCGTTGCATGCATTCCTCAGTGTCAGGTAGTCGAGAGCCAGAGCTGCGATGCCTCGGGCTGTCGGGGGCCTGCGAGCCGCCCTGACCGCCACCGCCGCCGCCGCTGCTAATAATTTCAACCTCGCGCTCGTGCTGCTGCTCACGGCGACCAGGGCCGCTTTACCCCCTGGCGCAGGTACACTTCAATCCTTTTCGCACACGCACGCACAAGCACCCAAAAATATATATTGCGTATCATTATAAAAACGTAATGTACAAAAGTAATCAGGGCTTCAATTTTTTATTTCTATTTTTATCTAAGATTAATTCAACCAGTGACTGTGAGAGTGATCGCGAATGTCGAGGTTTCTACGACAAAAGCTCGATTGTCGCTAGAGCTTTTTTTCGAATTCGAGTGTCAGTTTATGTACGTGCGGTCGCGACGCGCCTCTGCATATCATAACGAGGGCTTTGATCTCGTTTTTGGCTTCGAGCCAGCTTAGAACTCACTTCGATTGAAGTCTTTTAAGTTGACTGTCGGGTGATCGGCCCCCCAATCGGTTTTTCTTTTCTTTTTTTTTCACCGTGTGGATCAGACCGCCTGAATTAATATAACGAAGTGAATTTTTGTGCTCGAACGTGCGGATCATTGCATCTCGTCCAGGAAAAAAATTTCGTCTTATCGTTCTTCGGGATTATAGGAATAGCTGTGCTTCTCCTCGCAATCGGCAAGCTCATCTATAACGAACCCTCGGTACGGACACCGTCATAATCTATCCACTATATCTATATGTTTGCTCGTGCCGCTAGTATTTACAAACACATACAGAGAAACGCCACCGCCGCCACCTCGCCGTCGAGTGAAATCGAAAGTCCAACATATGTATCGGGAATAAGGGGGGAATAACCTGCCCCTATGTGCCAGGTCGTGTACCGTTGCCGCCCATAATGTACACATTAACTTTTTCAAGGATTAATCAATTATTCACTATTTTTTTTCAATTGAACAATTTACATTTCGTTCGATATACATAATTACAATGCACACCTATATATTCATTATGGTGTGATATTTGCACGGACCATTAGTCGCATGTGCGTTGAAGCGGCTCGCAGGAGCCTACTGCAAGCTCATTTTCATTTTCGATCGCGGCGCTATGACCAATCCACCGGCGGCACAGCAAGAGCAGTAGCACCCCCATGGTCAAGCTGTCACGGTATCTCCCCTCTCTTTTGTATTTATTACGGTGAGTCAGGCAGAGCTCCGCACTGAATTGCGCTTAAAAAAGCGTTGGGCGTATTTTTTTCATTCTTTTTTTCGGAGAGAAATTGATAGTGCTCTATGATTTTGACGCAATGCAAAAATAGAGGAAAAATAAGCGTATAAAAGAAGATACTCGTATGGGTGATTTCGATGCTTGGATACGAAGCAATGAATTTTCCCAATGCAACCCGAGCGATCAAATTAAATATTACACGCGCTCTATCGCATACGGGTTGTGCACTTGATCTCTGCGCTTATATGAGACATGCGATCACTCGCTTGTCAATGGGCAGACGACGGCGCGGGGCGAAAGACATCGTCGCGAATAAATATAGGCTACGTTAGACGGGCAGCTATAGAGCCCACATCATAATAAGCCATCGAATAATGTCGTGTGAAGTATAACGATGTATCGATTGTACTTGAGTTCACTTATACTTAACTTACTTTTATTACTAGATTTATACGAAGAATGTGACACACAATTTCTCTCATTACCAGTCTCGGTATACGTGCCCTTGCCGCTGCAGTAGCATCAAAATTGTTCCTCTTTTCAATTACTTTCGTAATAGAATAGAATTCATAAAGCGCGTGTACCTTTGATGCGTGTAGATAATCGAAGTTGCTTCTGCATGTTCGATGTTATGCTGCGAGCTTGCACAAGTTCATAATATAATGATGCAATATCATATATAAAGCTTGCGAGGGTGAGCGGAATTTCTTCGGGCGTCGTACTACACGCGATGCGACGATGTACATACATACACGACCATTCTACACACGTACATATATTATTCATGTGTGTAAAAGACGTGTCGGAGCTTTTCGCTAAGATTTGCTTTATCTTCTCTCCTCGTCCCCGGGATTATTATACATGCGCATCGCTCGGCAGAGCCGATGACGATGATAAGTCGGAACACATTCGAAAAGAGTAACTCGAGCCTCCGCACACATACTACACGCGAACACCTACTACGTATAATACACACACAGATTTACCATAGGAACTCACTTTTGTATCGATTTAACATAGGCTGTGTAATGGTATGCACGAGATGTGTATGTGTATGTGTGGAGGTATCTCGCTCTCGTTACGTGTTCGATAAACTTTTACGTTCAAATACCTCTAGACTCTCTCCGGGGTGCTGGCTGCACATGCATGCACTCTTCTTCCTTTTCCGCAAAGGATATATAGCCCCACAGCACACCTACAAAGGCTCCTGAATTTATTGCACACACATGCACGGCTTTTTCTGTGTTTTTTTTTTCGACAATGATGCCGTGCGCTCTGCAGAGAAAAAAAATACTCGCGGCATTGTGTACGTATAAAGTCGTCTACGATTAGATATGCACTAGCAATTGTTGACCGACTAACGAAACTTTTTCGAGTTCCAATTCGGGGAGACGAATAGAGAAAGAGCTTATTATCGTGTGGCTTGAAAGTTTTTTTTTCGTACAAGCTCGCAGGCGTACGAGTTTTGGAAATTTTATCGTTCCATTTTTCTCCTAAACTCAGCGTGCACGTACAGAAAAAAAACAACATCGACAAAAATTGACGCGCAGTAGGTATTGCGTTGCGTGCGTAGGCCTATACTAGATATACACGCACGTGCGTGCAGTCGTGCATTAGCGTGCAACAACAACAAAGGCAGCGGAGAGGTAAAAAAAAAGGGAAAACAAAACTGACGCAACGCATACGTAATTGCTAATTGAAGATGGTCGAGCGAGATTCGTCCCTTTGATTCGGCCCGTACACATACGTTATGTATTACATCCTACTATAGATAGATGCAGGTTTATAGACAGGTACAAACACACACACACGTAGACGTTCGATTGTATATGTAGAGCTCTTCCGGGCCGGAAGTATCGGAGGAGTACCGTATATACACATACAAGAGTGCGCGCGTGGGTGTATGAAAAAGCAAGCAGACCGTGCAAATCGGGTCGGCCCTTCAAAAGATATTGAAATAGTTTAGGCAGCGGCGGAGTAGATGCCGTGAGTTGCAACACACGGCTTGCATCTGGTGTATACAGTTTTATTACACACATAGCACATATATCGGAGTTGATGATGTATTCGTGCTCGTCGCTGAATGACTTTGAGGCGAGCAGAGCTGAGTAGCGCGTGCACTATCCTATATTACTACATGGCACAGCATAGTAGAGGTGTTGCACACTCATTGTTGATCGCGATGAATGCAACGCGCGAACCTGTATACCGATGCTCGAGAGATTTTTTTAGTGCCTCGTGCTTACTTGCGTAATTTTTTTTGTGCGTCGAAATTTTATTACCTTTTCTTCTTTTTTTTCGTTTGTCTTTTTTTTGAGAAAAAAATGAATAATCGATCTCGACTTGGAAAACCTGTGCATACGCGAGGAGTTCGTTGAACTCGCGCGCATGCTGCTGCACATATCGCTTAACGCGCGCGTCATCGCTGCGTCGTCGCGTGACGCGCTTTTTCAAATATATGCTCAAGCATTTTGTCGTGGCATAAGTGATCATCGTCGTCATCTTGAAAGGATAAATGTTTGCCGACGTATGTGCAAAACGACGAGAAAACGGCCAGGTCGGGGATCGCTTCCAATTTTGAATTTGTTAATCATTGAAATAATTTGCCTCGCGCGCGCTCGCCTGTTATCGCGTCGCGTGCCACGACCGGTTATGAAGAAGAGCAATTTTAATTAGCAACTCGCATGAAAATTTTGATTTCATCATTTTGCGATAGTTCGTCTCGAAGGGAACGTACTTTTTCATCGCTTTTGCCTCTATTTTTCGTTTGAAACTACGTTAAAATTTATTTGCGATTAGAGACAAACTGGAAAATAAGGTCGATTTGTTTTCCTACATCGTGCACCTATCATATTTTATTGGAATCAATGATTGACATACTTCTTATAGATTTTCAATTCATCATATAGGCAATCGAATGAAAAAGAAAATTGATTTTTTCTAATAACGATTCCGAGATTGAAAAATTGATACCAGTCTCAGTTTGATTATTTCAATGAATTGGTTCGTAGTTAAAAATTTCAAATTTACTATAGAGCCTCGCTTCGTGATGTACGACTGCGAGCTATTGTGGCTCCGTACAGGGTATAATAAAAATCGTTCGCGTGACTGTGGTCGTTGATGCCCTGCCAGATGAAAATGAAAAGGAAACGATATCCTTTAAATCGCACGTTCACAAAATCGCAACGTAATATGCATGTTTATTTATCGGTTCGGGTTCATCGACCCGACAGCGACTTGAACGTTGATTTTGTTAAATGAATTTTCGATATTCACGTCAAGTTCTTTGTGAATAGAAAAATTCAACAAAGACGATCAATTCTTTTTTCCGCTATCGATCACACAAGATGATACTTAAATTTTCCCCATAAGCGTACGATTGTATTATCCGTTCTCGAGCAGAAGCCCGCGAGAGTTAATAAAGTCGACGACGACGCGGCAATCGAGGCATTGAACTCATTTTTCATAAGTGTTACAAGTTGGTCACTCGAAACATCAATGTAATTATTATGCATTATATCGGAATCGAGTACAAGTTCAGCTCACGAGGCTCTAGAGGCAATTGTCTACCCTTAGATACTTTGTTATAACTAGTAATTTAGTTTCTTCCCCCCCCCCCCCCCCCCC